TGGTGAAATACCTTCGATCCTTGTCGCGTGCGTGTCACCCAATCAGATATTGCCGAATTCGGAAAGTCGCTTTTGCCCATAACCAATGCTGGCGTTACCAAGGCCGAGGCAGTGGTAGGGAGTGTAATTTTCAGTAAATGTGAAGGGAGGGAAAGTAAAAGTAATTACGAGTCAATCTTTAAATTCGTTAATCAGTGAAGGAGAGACCGTGCTCCGAAACCCGAGTGGCACTCATCTCCTGCTGCTGTTCGTTCCTCCTCCTCTCAATCCCTGAAAAGAACCCTTTCTTCCATCTTCTCAATATGAAACTCCGAAAATCAACCCCGTATGCCTCTTTGTCCTCCTATCCCATGCTTTATTTTCGGGTGCAGTGGTAATGATGAGACTGCGTATTATTTTAGATCTCATTTCCTTTCATTATGTCATTGTTAGATCATGACTGTTAAACTAAATCCTTCGTTGTATTGTTTCTCCTTTGCTCTCCATGCAGGGTCTTTGTTAGAGGCAGGGAGGGGAGCAATGACAATAAGTAGCCGTCTGAATATCGCCGGAAGAATCATCATATGTTGTTACGATTCCATAATAGGTGTTGTGGAACCCTACGTCATATGGTGGTTCTTTTGTGCGATATTGACGCGTACTTGTTGATCATGCTCCGAAAATCAACCCCATCCGCCTCTTCGTCCTCCTATCCCATGCTTTATTTTCGGGTGCAGTGGTAATGATGAGACTGCGTATTATTTTAGATCTCATTTCCTTTCATTATGTCATTGTTAGATCATGACTGTTAAACTAAATCCTTCGTTGTATTGTTTCTCCTTTTCTCTCCATGCAGGGTCTTTGTTAGAGGCAGGGAGGGGAGCAATGACAATAAGTCGCCGTCTGAATATCGCCGAAAGAATCATCACATGTTGTTACGATTCCATAATAGGTGTTGTGGAACCCTACTTCATGTGGTGATTCTCTTGGGCGACATTGACGCGTACTTGTTGATCATGCTCCCAAAATGTATACAAGATGGGAAAGTTGCCATATGTATAATAGGATAAAAATAGGGAGGGAAAGTACAGCTTTTGTTTTTGTTGGACTATATGTAACATTTGTTTATATTTGTATACTGTTTTGTTATTTTTTCTTCTGCTTCTCTCTTCGCTTCCATGGCGGCTTCCAAAAGTGTTTGAGATCTTCTAAATCTGCGAGGGATCCTCCACTCCCAATAAAAATACTGTACATTGTACTATTAGCGTTTGAGATCTTCTAAATCTGCAGGGGATCCTACACTCCCAATAAAAATATTGTACTTTGTACTATTAGCGTTTGAGATCTTCTAAATCTGCAAGGGATCCTACACTCCCAATAAAAATACTATACTTTATTTGTTGACTACTGACTCCATTTTTAGAAGTCTTTACGATTGGGCCAACCGGATTTTTTGCCGGATTTCGAACTCTGCTCCTCTGTCACCACATGCTCTACCCATTTAATGAGTGCTCAAAATTAGTGCAAAAAATACGATATAATAATTGAATAAAAAAAACTAGTTCTCAAGATTATTCAACTGAAATGTTGCACATGATTTATTTAGAGTGCTTAAAAATTGCCTTCAACTGACCATTAATGAGTACATAAATTAAACGACACCGCAAGAGCCAACAGTCTTCTTATATACCAAACGACTTGGCATAGGAGGACTTCCAGTTTCAGTTCAAGTTTCCAACACCGAGCAAATATATGGTCCCAATTGCCACTTCAGCAACTTTAACTATACATCAATTGTGATCGTGGGTCCTACTTAATTTTCAATGCAATTCAATATTAATTGATGAGTGTGTTATATTAATTGGAGTTTTCTCTCAAGTTGTTTTTTGTTGTTGTGTTATTCGAATTATGTAAAGTATTATGATTGGAATTGTATATATGTGTGTGCTGCATGAAAATTTGCAACTGCATGAGAAAACATTCATCAGTTGCAAATTTGCAACTTTTGTAATTGATCCCACATCAATGCAACTGACCATCCCACTTTCACTCCCTTGCCACATCAGGTTGCAATTCTCAAGAATTGCACCATTGGAGATGGTCTAAATAAGCAAGGTGTTGATGGTTAGAGTATATATGGTATTGATTGGTTAGGGTATAATTAAGCCTATAAGGTGTTGTTATTGTTGTAGAGTATATGGTATTGATTGGTTCGTGTATTAGGGTTTGGTTTAGGGTTTAGGGTTTGGTTTAGGGTTTAGGGTTATGATTCAAGTTAGAATAACATAAACCAGATCAATAGAGTAATGTTGGTAAACGAAAAAGTTGGTTAATCTACAAATAAGCAATGGGATGGATTGGTTCGGGTATAAGCCTATAAGGTGTTATTGTTGTAGAGTATATGGTATTGATTGGTTCGGGTTTAGGGTTTAGGGAAAGGGTGGAAATCAGACGTGGAAATGAAGAAAAAAAAAAAATGAAAACAAATTTAAACAAAAAAGAACAAATTAACACAAACCCTCTCAACTCGCTCTCCCACATCTTAAATCTCTGCCTCATCCGCGGAGCCAACCATGGACGAAGCTGCCATGATGGCGACGACGATTGAGGATGAAGAAGTGCTGGTGGTGGTGGTGGTATTTTAGGTGGCGATGGGTTGCGGCCGCGGCTTGAGGTGCTTCTCGACCTCGAGGGGATCCAGCCGGCTAAGAGGGTGTCGATTGAAGCGTAGATTTCTAGGGATAGACAAAGGGAAAATAGATTTTAGGGATTTCATGTGGTTGTATTGGGGGATTTGTGTTAATTTGTTCTTTTTTGTTTAAATTTGTTTTCATTTTTTTTTATTTCCACGTCGGAAGGTGGGGTAACTCGGTGAGGTTTGAAAGTGTGCTGGAGAAAGTGAGGTTTGAAGTGTGCTGGAGAACAAAAATACCCGACCATGATCAGAAATACCCAGCCGGGTATTATTTGGCGATGACCGGGGATCTGAAGCTTTGGGCGTCTTTGAGAAACATAAGGGGGCCCGGGCAGGAGGCAAAAATCCCCGGTCGGGGATTCTTGGCCATGACCGGGGATTTTCCCCTGTCACCCGACGGTGCGTTTTGCACATACCCGGTCGCCACCCAAAATACCCGACCGGGTATTTAGGCCGGGGATTAGAGTATATGGTATTAATTGGTTCGGGTTTAGGGTTCGGGTGTAAATCAGACGTGGAAATGAAGAAAAAAAATGAAAACAAATTTAAACAAAAAAGAACGAATTAACACAAACCCTCTCAACTCGCTCTCCCACATCTTAAATCTCTGCCTCATCCGCGGAGCCAACCATGGACGAAGCTGCCATGATGGCGACGACGATTGAGGATGAAGAAGTGCTGGTGGTGGTGGTGGTATTTTAGGTGGCGATGGGTTGCGGCCGCGGCTTGAGGTGCTTCTCGACCTCGAGGGGATCCAGCCGGCTAAGAGGGTGTCGATTGAAGCATAGATTTCTAGGGATAGACAAAGGGCAAATAGATTTTAGGGATTTCATGTGGTTGTATTGGGGGATTTGTGTTAATTTGTTCTTTTTCGTTTAAATTTGTTTTCATTTTTTTTTATTTCCACGTCGGAAGGTGGGGTAACTCAGTGGCCAACTCAGCGCAAGCTGTTAGTACAGTCATAACGTCTACTAACACCGTTACCAAAATGGACGGAATTGGCTATTTGTGGTTTTCGAATAGAAATGGCTATATTTGTCAAAAGTGTGAAAGTTATGGCTATACAAGTGTATTTTGCCTATTTTTATGTATCATCTATAAGTTTACTATAATATTTAGTAAAATAAAAGATCTTCCTCTTTGAGACTTCCCCATAAACATATCCTTAAAAAAATTCATCTACAATCGAGGGAGAGGAGTAGAGGACCACATCCACGTTCTTCGATTAAGAAATTAAATCCTCTATTTCTAGCTAGAAATACATAAATATAGAGGGGAGAGAGCCGTCGGAGATCGGTTGAAAGACGTGACGACCGATTGTTGCCACCAGATAAAAAAGGGAGAATAGAAAGAAATAAAATTGAACATGCAAATTTTTGTAGTGAAAATAGAGAGATGAATGTATGACAATGCAATGGCATATTGCCATCCAATTAGGACAAACAAATCAGTAAAATACCTATGAACTCATTACCCGTAATATCACCAATAACGAGTGCCACCAAAATAACACAAAATAACCAAATTTTATGAGATTATAATATGCAATACTATTCATTTCATCAATATTTTTTTGTACAAGAGGAGCATACAAATAGGGTTGTACATCAATTGAGGCGAGGGGAGGCGAGTTTTTCCTTTCTCGAGTTGGTTTGAGCTCGAATTCATTTATTCTTAATAGTTAAATCCTTAAAATAAACTTTAATATAATTTATAAATTAAATACAATACTATCTTTATATTATATTTGTACATGTGATTGATGTAATGAAGAAAAAGAAAATAATAATCAAAATTTTCATCATGGGCTAAATCCATATTTATGTACTCTATTGATATGATATTATTTCATAGTTATTAGTGTCTAAAAAATATACACACAATTGATCTTTTGAATTATAAATGAGACAAATCTGTTCACATACTTAAATTCTAAAATGACACATGAGATATATAATTTAACAAGCTAATGAATTATTAATAAAACAACTTGTTAAGATATAAATTGCTCTAAACGAGCCAACTCACAAAATGAGCTAAACAAACCATTGAGATCAGTTTAATAAGACTTAATTTAAACTCGACCTGTTAGTAAAGGAATAGAGTTTTAAACAAATTTTCTCGAGCCGAATGGCGAGCAGCTTATTCGCATTTCCGGCGCTAACGCTGAGATGGACTACGTGGGAATGAGCTGATTTCCCCAAATGTGCAATACTGCCAACCCATCAAGGAGCCCAAAAATGTTTTTGATGTAGAAACCAAAACAAAAATAGAAGGAAGCCCATTAACCAACAGTCCAACACCCAAAAAGAAAAATTACTAAATTAGGGATTTCGATCGGTAAAAAAATTAGGGGTTTCGATCTCTTTCCTGGTATCCGGTCGTCTGAAATCCTTACTCCGATGGGTTTCTGTCTTCCTCCATGACCATGTCGGCCGATAACAGCACCTCGGCTCTGGGTCGCCGGCTAGGCTCATGTTTTATGGCTTGCAACTCCAGCAAACGAGCGCGGACACATTCAGCTGAAGTATACCCTCCGATCGGGAAACTGGCAGACGATCTTCTCGTAGAGGTTCTGATCCGCGCCCTGCCTAACCCTAGGTCCGCCTGCCGATGCAAGCTCGTCTGCAAGCGATGGAGCTCTCTAATCGTCGACCCAGTACGGTTCAATCGCCGTTTCATTTCTTACCACCGGAGCAGGAACCAACAACCTCCTCTGCTTCTTCACTCAGACGACCCGCAATCGATCATCACGAGCTTTCTCCCTATGAGCCGTCTATCCCGTATGTCCTTTTCAGTAATGGATTCTTACAAGGATCTGGTCTTATGCGGGTTTGAGAATGTGGGTCCAACCAGCGGCGAATTGTACAGAACATACTTCCTCTGCAATCCGTTTACTAAGCAATGGCTCGCCCTCCCTTTGGCGCCTGAATTGCCAGCAGGGTGCCCGTATTTCTTCACAAGGTTAGTCTGTGAACCCCGCAAGTCTAATGATCTCGATCTAGGAGATAACCAAGTCTTTGCTTATTCGTCCGAGTATCGATTCCGTGTGGTCCGCCTATACCGGAGTGGATCGTATGCAAAACTAGACGTGTTCTGTTCGGATACCGGAGAGTGGACCAAGGATCGTCTTGTTATTCCCAATCATTACCAATGCATAGCCAGAAATGTGGTTTCCTGCAATGGGGAGCTGTTCTGGAGTTATGCTGTTCCGAACCAAGATAAAGATGCTGTTCGCCCGTCGATATCTTTCATTGCTGCTTTTAATCCTTTCCGACCCGACATCCCTCCCACTGCCATTGATGCTCCGGAAGTGTTCTGCAAACCCGGGTGGGATATCTCAGTCTCGCAAGGCGCCTTGCACGCCATTGCATTTGAAGATTCACTTCGACCTGATCGTTCACCGATTGCATCGAGTGTTTGGAGACTGGAACAAGACCGTAAGTCTTGGAGGAAAGTATGTGACGGGCTGCTAAAGAAGTCGAGATTGTATGAGCTTCGCCACTATCTTAGGCCTTGTTTGCATCCAGAGAAGCCGGAAGTTTTCTTCCTCAAACATCGTGGTGATGCTGGTGTAATATCTACCTTGTCCTGCGATTTGAGGACAGGGGGAGAGGTGGAGCTCTTCTCAGAAGCCAGAGTATTCTTAAGTTATTGGAACTTGTTCCAAGTTCAATTCTCTTGCTGGCCTACTTCGATCCCAAGGTACAAGGAATTGCGAGTTATGTACGATGGAAGCTGCAGCTGTTGGATTCAGAGCAACAACGGAACTGACAACAACTCTTCAATACTTGGTACTTATTACTGCTTGTGACTCTATGCTACGGTTAGTTGTGCACTAATGAAAATTACTAGTAATGCACGAGCAATGAAAATGAGAGCCTGAAAGAAAGAAAATGAGTCATGCGAGGACTAGATATCACAGAGACATTTTGCTGTATTCTTCCCTCATGTTCCTTTATGTGGCCTGCTTTCCGATCATCGTTTAAGTCGTTGTTGCTTTGTTTGCTGAACCAACAGATGGAGCAGGAGGTGCTGAAAGTCTCAGATCCGGAGAAGGATGATGGCGTTCGAAGGAGTTGATCAACTTGTCTGGTGGGTTTGGGAAGTGTTGGGTTTCTCTTCATGACTGAACTTGTACAGTGGGTCGGGTATGATGGTTGTTGTGTAGCTGCTGTAGTGAAATTTATTTCTGGTATGAAAGCGTTTCGGTCCCTGAAGAGAATGTGTTTGGTGTCCTTATGTCTGCGTTTACTTTCACTGCTACGTACGAAACACTTATGCTTAGACATCACTTAGGACGGTTTACACCAGTTCTACTCAACAAATCATGAACTAATAGAACTCCACAGAAGGATTTGAGAATCAAGTTTTATGAGTCAAGTTTTCATTCACATAGAACAAAACTTTTTTACGTTCCTATTATTTTAAGGGTTATAGGTAAAATCCTTATTCGTAGCCCTAATTGTATTAAGTTTACTTTAATGCCCTTAATTTATTTAATACACAATTACATGGACGAATCCTTTAGTCTTGGTACCCTCAATCTGTAGTGGGATCTTCGCTGGATTCTTCTCGCCGAGGGACGCCAAGTGGTAGCTCTTCTGCTCATGCCATATAAGCCAAAATGGCCCATTGTCTGATCTTGCTTCATTGTGATCCAAAAATGAAGTACCAACTTTGCAAAGGGCAAGTATGAGCTTGTGATATTGCATGAATTAACTAAGAGTGGAACTTTCAGTTACATCTTACCACATTGTTCATAATCTTACAGTTCTTTACCTCCTTTTTAACAATTCCTCCTCAACTGACTAGATACGAGATGAACTTCGCAAGGAGACCTTGCAGCTTGCAAGTGAGTGGCCTGGATGTCTAACAAGAATTCTCTTCTGACTTCCTAATGAACCAGGGAATGCTAATAATGTCCATTCATTGATGATCGGGAGAAAATTTGGACAAGGAACCTCGCATAGTGGAGCTAAGAAATCAAGTGAGACTAGACTCAATTCTCTAATTATGTTTCCTTTTCTTCCCGGCGTCAGCAGCGGGGAGCAGTTCTGGTGCGACGGCTTTGCCCAATGTGACGGGTTTGGGCCTTGGGGTTGAGGGGAGAGATTGTTTGCTAGGGTTTACGTTAGAATTGGATTAGGGGTAGATGTGTCAATTTAGTGTGGTTTAGGGCGATGTTTTTTGAATTTTAGGGCGACGAATAGCGATTCAGAAAATATGCCATTTTATTATGCCATTGTATCAAACATGTATCTCTTCTATATTTTACATCAAACATCGCCCCTGTAATTTGGAAAAATGATCAAACATGCCCTTCTGTTAAAATTTTCATCCAAAAAGCATTAACCACGACCAAACTTTGGTTTGGGCGACACAAATGTCTACAATATTCCTAATGATTTGATTTCACTTTAGAATTTTTATGGTTCTTTTGTATAGCCAAATAATTATAATAATTTCACTTTTAGGAGGCCCAGAGAAAAAAAAATAGGGGACAAACTGACATTTTCCATCCCACTCTCCGATATCGGGTCGTCTAAATCTCGGTTCAATCATGATTGACAATTTTTTCAATAATTTTTTTTTAAAAAGGCCATGTTTGATAATTTTTTTAAAATATAGGAGCATGTTTGTGTGAGCTCTGGGGCCTGTCGGGGCTAGAATACTTAGGGGAGGGGTTGCCTCGCCATACTTTTCCGCTGTTTCTTAAACGTTTGCTGGCCTTAGTTCAGCAGCCGCCGCTAGTTATGGCAGTTTTCGCTGTACTTTGGCGTATTTGGCGGTCAAGAAATTGGGTGGTGTTTGAAGGGAAGCAGTTTGAGTTCCCCGCGTTAATGAGGCAGTTTTCCCAGCAATATGAGGAGTGGGTGGGGTTGCCAGTGGACGTGCCTCGTATGCCTTCTCCCCCAGTGCCTTCTCCCCCAGTGGTTCCACGATCAAATGGGGCAGGACTGGTTGCAGGGTTTACTTGCCAGTGGGACGGGGCTACTAGGAAGGGGTCGCATTCAGCAGGTGGCATGGTTCTTCTTTCTCCCTCTGGGGATGTTCTTTTGGCTCATGGGATTCAGTTCCAGGGAATTGATGACCCAGGGGTCGTGGAGTTGCTGGTACTACGGGAGGCTATTACTTGGTGTTTGGGGCAGGGGATTGCAGGGGTGCGATTCGAAGGGGATGCTAAGATTGTCATTGACAAAATCAATTGCAGGGATGCTAGAGATAACCGGATGGGCTCTGTTCTGGAAGAAGTTTTACAATATTGTCATAATAGCCCAGGGATTAGTGTGCGGTTTATAGGTCGGAGTAGTAATAGGGTGGCCCACTTGGTGGCTAGAAAAGCCCTCTCTTTTAGGAATGGCAATGGGGCAGGTCAGGGGCGGGTTTCTTGGTACCCAGACCCGCCCCGTGGCAGGTCGGGTCCAGGTCGGGTAATTTATCACGGGTCACGGGTCGGGGCAGGTCGACCCAATGGGTATGCAATTTATATGAAAAATATTAGAAATATTCGTTGTTTTTATTATAAGACCAAGGAAACAAACAATATTATGAGAAATATAGTTAAATTATTGGAGAAATTGAGGTTTTCACTAATTTACGTCTTTATTATAGCTAAGATTTGATGTAATAAAAGAGAAATCCTAAGTAATTTGACTAAAATTACGTGTAATTTAGGCAAGAACGGGTCGAGAATGGGGCGGGTCAGGACAGGTCGGGTCGATGAGAGTACTCATGCCCGCCCCGCCCCGCCTACTTGGCGGGTCGGACCCGCCCCAAAACAGGTCAAACAGATCGGGTAAAACGGGTCAGGTCAAAATTGCCATCCCTACTCTCTTTGTACCCGACCATGAGTCGTTTCTTTGATTTCCGGTCCTGGCTTGGGTCCAGGGTGTAACTATCTATGTTTTTGGTATCAATATATATGATTATCTTTTGTTAAAAAAAAAATGTTTGATGTAAAAATTAGGAAAGAAACATATTTGACAAAACGATATAATAAAGAGACATATTATACCTATAACTCTTATTTGAATGGTGGTGGGTTTTCCTACTATCTACATCCTATCCTCCTATATTATATATGGTGATTCTCCGTAAGCGCACACACAATTCAATTGTTCCTTGCCTATGCGCATTAAAATAATAATTCCGCTACTGTCTCGTGGGCTAAAAGCCTAATTAAATTGAGATACAAATAAAAAAATTATTAAAATTCATGCTCCAATTGTTAATGATAATAAAATAATAACTCAAGCTCCAATTCTTGCGGCATTATTGTTTCACAATTCAAGCTTCACTACTCAACTTCATCAATTTTGACGGTTGTCAACTTGGTTTAGCCCGTTGGACCGATCGAGAAATTGGGTTGAGAGTTAATTTTTCGACCGTTTTAGTTCGGTTTAGCTCGAATATATGAAAAGTCACTATATTGTTATACATTTATAAATTATATTAAATTTCATCTAACATATGAGTAATAACATATAACATTACACAAAAATACACATTTTGTACTTGCATCCAATATATAGTGAAAATTCACTTTCACACACATAACATCAATATTAAAATGTTCAACATAGAATTTCAAATATTGGGTTAGAAGAAAAGGAAAATCGGAAAATAGACGCATTCACAAACCAAAGGAAAAAAAACAACACAGTTTGACCTCCAACCCGGTACCTTGCAGCGGTTGACTCGACGGGTGTGTGGCCCGTTTTCTCATCGGGTCAAGAACACAATCGGTCAACCGACAGTTCGACCCGCGAGATGACAACCTTGGACTTTTCACTGCATCATCAGTTAATCCGGCATTAGAAATGGTAGACGAGTATCCGCATATCTATATTTGTTCATCTGTATTAGGTCATAATTTATTATGTGATACAAATCAGAACAGGTCGACGCATATGGATATGCAATTTAAACAAAGTATAGCATGATAAGTGTATTTAAATTATTCAAGAAATCGAGATTCACACCTATTTAAAACTTTATTATTGCTAAAATATGAGGCCATAAAAGTTAAATCCTAATTAGTTTGAGCAAAATTACCAATGTTGTCAGAACCGAACCGGAGCATGACCCAGTAATGCGAACGGCTCGCACTTTAGTGGTCCAACCGGCATTAGACCGTTTAAAAACCGTTAGAGAACCGGTACCTAATAAACGTTATCAGTATAAATAGTGGACATTTCTTAATCAGAGCTCATCTCTTTCCTTCGAAATTCTGAAATGGAAATAAGGATTCAATTTGAGAGCCCGACGTTTTTGGTTTTTTTCAATTTTCAATTTTCTACAATTTTTTTAATTAAATTTAGTGGCTGAATGACAAAAACCGGACGAGCGGCTCGATCGGCTCGAACGGCTAACCGCCTCGGCCGCTCGCCAACCGCTACATAAAACCGGAGCGACTTTTAGACTGTTTTGAGCCGATTTTGTGACCGGGTGGCGGTTTTACCGGTCGGGCCGAGCGGCTCGGCTCGGCTTTAATAACACTGAAAATTACATATAATTCAGATCGAGGAGAGCACCCATGTGTGCTCCATCTCACTTACGCAGTGGATATTACTCACTCCAAAACATGTCAAATAGATCGGATAAAATGTGTTAGGTCAAAGTTGTCATACCTAACCGACATCATTGTAAAAATACTCAGCCTCATAATTTTTTTTCTTAATTATGAATGTGTTTGCAATATTTAGTTCCTAGAAGTGAAGGCTTCTCATTGTAATAAGTTTCGATACAACATCTATGGAATAAAAATTCAAGGTTTAGTCATGATAAATTTCCCCTAATAAATTTTTTTCTCTAAAGATAATCCACTATGAAATATAATCACAATAACACATGCTTAGGGATGGATGGTTAATTAAATTTTCATACATTTCTTGCTATGTGATTTTTACTTATCCTCCAAGATGGTTCTGCCTGTTGAGTCAAATAGTTCCATAGTATTATGCCAAAAAATAACATCATTATGTCTAAGATGTTCATCTCAATTATTTAGCCATTAAGTATGTTTTTATATCAATTATTGTTAAGATCGTATCTATTTCATATTGTTTTTGGTAAACTTTTTTTTTGGAGTTCTACATCTCAAATAAATATTTTCCTTGGAACATCATTCAATCAGTCAAATCATGCTTCATTTAGATATTAAAAATTGAATGTAAGCGGATATTTAAGTTAGCATAATTATATATCATTATGGAAATATAATTACTATTTATTCATGAATGGAAAAACAACTTGCATTTGCAAATACTTATCAATATGTGTACCTCAGACGCAATAAAAATACTATAAGTTTCAAAATTGTAAAATTTACAGTACATTGTGGGGTCGATATCGCTGGCAAATCTAAGTATTCTGCAAGTTATTGACTTTGAGATTGGTGAAACTAATGCCATTTG